TTCTCAGTATGAATAAATAGCGTATTTGAAGACCCATCCCCCCAGACAAAAAATAAGATCACCTATGAGTTGTGTGTTAGATAGAGAATGTCTAGACATATAGATAGCTTGTGCCAAACATATTTGCAATTGATTGCAGATGATCTTGCCAAATCACATTCTTCATCTTGTATAGGAGCAATTTCATAGGATCTTATTGTCGTCTAACTAAATCACCTTTCTGCAACCTTAGAGAGTCATGACACTGCGTTGTTTTAACTGAGATAAGATCAGTGATAGAAGTCTGTGTCTTTAATTCATTTGTGGATAACAATATATACTCTAAGGTCGTTAACGTATCAGAAAAGAAATGTGGGACCCAAAACGGATCCCTGTGGAGTACTAATATTAGGTACGTCTCGATTGGTTGAAATGTTAGTTGCACAGGTATATCATTAAATCTATGATGCCACTGACATCTTCTTAGAATCCATTAAATGTATTATTTTTGTTAAGATATTCATCCTCAACATTTACTATTGTTGTTTCTCAGAAATCGCGTATTGCTCATTCCAACACCAGAAGCTAAGAAGCGTAGCTGCTAATAGGTTTAAGAGCTCGAAAGCCCAGACGGCTCTGCATCTATATTTACACAGCGTACAGCAAGAACAACCATTAAGATTTTTCCGGTCATCAAGTCAGCACATAAAACCAACGGAATCCAGTTTGTTAGCTACTTTGCTTTTTATCAACGGCTAACCTATTTCATAATGCCTACAAAAAATTCCAGATTTTTCTACCTCCTACCATTCATTCTACCGACTTGCGTCTTAAAGGCATTTTTCGCCGAATGTGACATCCCAGCAATCCTTGCTATTCTTTTGTTTGTGTTACGTGTAGCATTGGATTATACAGTGCTTTTCAAAAAGATCCACCCTTCTTATTCTTTAATGGGTAAAGATCGCAAGCTGATACTCCGGGAGATGAAACTGCTGCACGACACCATATCTTAACATAAAAATGACAAAAAATTTCAATATGGCAGCTGGATGCCATCTTGGACATTTTACTCCCCACGCCACTGGCGAGAAAGCATTGCGAGCGCAAAAAAAATCTTATTTTTTGGATGTGTATCACTAAAAACCAACCGAACCAGTCAATTCTGTCGGTCTCTCTGTCTGTCCATCTGTCCGTCCACTAATCTTTGGTCTGTCTATAAGTTTGAAACTCTTATGGATTTTGATGAAATGTTCACACACGGTTACTACTATGCCTATGACTAAAAAGCTTTGCATCTCTTGAAAATCGGACCAGTGGCGGCGGATCATTTTCAAAAATAAGTTTTTTATGAGTGCTTGAATTGCTTATCCCATTTTATGAATTGTATTGATACGCCTACTCAAAAAATACCAACTCCTTTAAATCCATCATTTGCATTACAATTTTTTTCGGCGCAACAAATTTTAATTTTTTCCACTAGGATTACGGGGATTCAACATAAATAAGTACTTTATAATTACTATGACTAAAATATTCCACGACAAGCTACCCAATTATTTGAAAGATGTGCGCCTGCTTACAACTATATTTGCGTGAAACACCGTCTCTCGGCTCCAACGTTGCCACCTATCGGATTGTTGACGCAGGTAATGGGACACCCTCTTTCGTCGTTTATAAATTCTGATAATACGAAAACTTTCTTGCAATACTAACGTATTTGAGAATAAACAATTTTCTTTAAAATAATGATGGAGTCTGTTTCTATTAGTTTAAGGAAATTACTTTGATCCTACTTGGCAACATGGCTGTGACACTGTATGTGAACGTCCAGATACAGCATATAGTTGATCATATGCTTAAAATACACAAATCTGCTTATTCAATTAATTCGTATGGTACTGTGACGTATCCACCAAAAAACGTGAAAAGAACTATAGCCGTTTGTTTAGGAGCCTTTGTATACGCCGTTAAAATGGTAACCTCAATTCTGTGTAACGTTACAGTTGCTTTGCATGCGTCTGTCTGCCTACAAACTATCAAGTACAGACTGGTATCCAACAGAGTGTAAAATTGAACGATACCGTTGGGTCATAGATCAACAAGTAGGTATCTAAAATTAGACGGCACGATAGAGTAAACGGTTTTAGGTTAATTTTCTAGTTTAAAGGGGCAAATGTTAATTGATTCATTCATATGTCTCTATTATACGGGCAACACACGGCATTTATGCGTTGTGAGAACATTCTTAATTCGATAATTCTATTATTTCTTATATCTTTTTTAATTGGTAATGACTTCTGAATAAGATGTGTTTGAGTCTAAAGAATGTCTTTCCGACTCGAGGAATTAAGATATTTTGGCCATCAGTAACTCAAACCTCCGTTTAATCCATACTCCCTATGCACTGGTTTGAGCCAATGAATTAAGACTAGGTAGAAGGAGTCAGGCAATGACTTTTTTGACTCTTAATTCTCATAGTCTGTAGTGAGGATTAAAGTGCACTTGACACAAGACAATTTTATGACAGCTTTGTTATTAAATTCCTACTTTTAGTTTATTTATTGTGGTGTTAGACGATTTCAAGACACGATACCTTTTTATGCAATTTGCAAAAAGTGGAACAAGCCTAATGAAGGTAGATGTTTCCACCGATAGTTATTATTATCTTAATACAACGCTTTGGTATGTATTGGTTGACAAATAAGTCAAAAGTATGCACTAGTACTACGCAATTTTGGCGACAAGCAGTGGACTGCAGACATATAGACTTGGCTCCTTCTAATCTATACGAATTCGTTGGTTTGAACCACCATTCTGACATCCGAGGTAGTCCAGGAAGTATCTGCTTGGAAAAATATGCTTTTTTATATAATCATTCCCCTTTAACGAATTTGCATGCCACCCGACTTAAAATTGCCTCAACATTTTCAAAGAAATTCGTAAGCAAGTTCCCAAAAATTGCATTTTTAATCCAGGCAGATTTGTGTTTTGAATTTTTTTATGTTATTTTTGACGAAAGAGACCTTATGAACTTATCTGGCCTTTTTAAGTTGTATTTACAAAAAGTCACCGTGGTGACCGCAACATTAGTAAGCAAGAAATTTAAACATATATTTTTAGGTTTCATTTAGTGGTCAGACAATCATCGAGTTCTCTCAGCATGAGAACCACATAATAAGTCTTGAGTGTTACATTATGTGTATCTACTACACTAATGTTCCCAAAAATACCAATGTATTTCAGGGAGTATTGTTATTAAAGAGCTTTGTTTTTGATTGTTAATCAAGCGCACGCTCAATGTGGATTCTGACTAGAGTTAAGCTCAGGTTTTACGCCAAATGCAAATTTTCGAAAGCTAAGTGAGTCTTTTCTCTCAGTGGTATAATACAAACTCTAATAAATGAGAATTCACCATAATACTGGAAGGTTTCTCGCATCTTTCATAAAGTTTCATTTCCTACGATTAAGATTCCAACTCATTATAATATGGAAATTCTTAACTCTGAGTAACGATCTCACAAATAATTCCAACTATTTCCTAAATGATCTTACAGAAAGTTATAACGATCTTATAGAAAGATCTCAAGCAGCTGAACGGCTCTATAATGAGATAGGTTACATGATCGGTACCATTATATCACGATCGTAAAAACCACTGTTGAAAGTTTCTCGCTGGGAGGAAATGGCTAATGCTAGAGCTAAGCTATTCAGCAATAGCAATAAAACCATCATTTACGGTTGTTAAATTTTGCTCAAATATGTGTATTTTTAAAAGACGGGTATAAATACCTGCTTAGACTTCCAGGAATTTTTCCTAGACTCACAAATGTGACCTTCAGAGATAACCCTGATCTTAGATTTTAATACATACTGGGACGTAGGGTTTGCCGTTTATTCGATTGCAAGTGTAAAAAAAATTCAAAACACAAGAATTGACCTTGAAATAAGTTTGGTGATGCTCAAGGTCAAATACAAGGTCACCGTTGAACTGCTAAAAGTTGATACGACCTTTTTTAAAAATCCTACATGGTGTGGCAGCATAACTTTCTCTTTTCAAAACTTAATAAAACCCATTGTACGAATTAAAACACTTTTAGTGATTTTTAAAATGTAGTCCATGTCTGTAGTTTGGTTTTACATACAGTTTTTAAAGATCAAATGGTCCCGAACTCCTTGGATAGATTAGATAAACATAATATTTCAAAAAAGACACACACAAATGAAAATAGACTTCATCACTAAAAAAAAAAAACAATAGCGTCCTAAGGAACGACTTCGAGAATCCGAGAATTGTAGAAAGTTTCCGCATAATTGCCATCTTGTAAAGGTTCATCATAAATAATTCTCCTCAGTGAGTTATCGGAAAGTGCAGATGCATGTTTGCGAACAGAATGGCGCGGTGATCGCAACATTCAAGCTGTCAATGTTTTTAGGTTATCTAATGGATCGACAGACTTTTTCGTCTTGTCGCACTTGCACGGGGCTAAACTGAATCGATTCCGAGAGGCGCGGTGGGATGCGATCACAGTGGACCTCAACGGTAAAAGCTCGCTCCTTACTTATTCCAAAGTATTATGGCGACTGAACTGTATCGAGGAAAACCTTATACTGCCGCCTCTCAAACGACACCACTAGCGCTCCACTGCTATACCTTGTTCCTTGAAAAATACAGTGTCCTTCCAACATTTTTGTTTCGCCTGGTATCCTAACAAATTATTATCATTCCGTGCTATCATAAGACCTGCCTACACGTATTATTAATATAACAGTTCGTCGTATCATCAACGATACGGTATGTTTCATCAACGAATATCATTATACCGTTTATGTGCGTGTTGTTTTCAAACCTAATTTCCCGTGCAGTCGTATCAATCGAAGCTAACCAGTTATAACGGAGGAAATGTATGTCCTTTTTTGTATACAATCGAATGAATCGAATGATAATTAGATTGTCATTGAGTAGTAGATTCACGTTCCTGAAAAATCAGAATACCTGTTATAATTGGTACTTTTTCTTTCAGGTTCCGCGGATTGCTGTTAGGCTACCAAGTATCCAAGTATGAGCGACTAAAAAGTGAGTATGCAAACCTAGTCACGACCAAGTCGAACAGTTGCAAGTGAAGCAATCTCTTAATAAGAAAATTGTACTACTCACTCCCTACCATCATTTCATAAAAAATTGTTAGCAATAATTAAACGGATCAAGTTAGTCAAACAAGCTCATATATCTATGGGGCTGTTTGGGATTTGACTCTCTGACCCTTGCTCTCCAAATAGTTTTGGAGGCAGGTACGCTTTCACACGAAAGTTAACTTTTGTTGATAAATGACCCTCTTCATCCTACTGAGAAACATTTTTTGAAGGCGCAGATGACCGAAGCTATGTTAGCATTTCGCGTGGATGACGGTCGAGAGCCCACATCTACAGCAGTCGAGCAGCGCTAGCCAATTGAGACGCACATGCATCGTTCGGACCAGGGGCTTGATTCTAAATGAGTTTCGACCGTTGAAATTGATTTCGATGGCGCCTTGTGACGATATACTTGATTAGCTATGATAATTTTGACACTGTCATGATAATTTAAATATAGATCAATATAACGTCAAAATTATCATAGCGAATCAAGTATATCGTCATAAGGCGCCATCGAAATCAATAATTTCAACGGTCGTAACTCATTTAGAATCAAGCACCTGGAACCACGTAGTACGCGACTATGGGGAATATTCCTCTATCATTCTAAGTTATAAGGATAAATATACGGAGAAATCCATGATGTGTGAAATACGCCTAGTAGATGTGTAGAATTACCGCGGCTGGAGATAAGTATACCAACGTCAAGAAATTGAGATATACCCTCCTTCGCCCCTACAGTCCCCAATTTTCAACCCTTAACAGCCACAATCACAGAAATGAGTGACAATGGTTTGTTATGTCATGTAACATTAGAAACCATGTTTCATTTTTGGAGTTTCTCGTGTCAAGTATATACTAGTATGTAGGAGGCTACAGCGCCATCTATAAGATACATTTTCAAAGTATATAGTAGTAGTATGTATAGTGAATATAGAAACAGCTATGATAAATTCTCATAGATAACGATACCGTATCTCATTTTATCTCGGATCTCTTTTTAGATGCGCGAGTATGGCATTAGGTTGGCTATCTTCAGGTAGGATACGTTAATCAATGATGCACAGATCTTGATGTTGCAGCTTGTTCTCGGGCAGGTACGGCTGTTAGTGGTGATACATAGTATCATTTTTTTATTGGACACCAGCGGTTACTGTCATATTAGTTGCAATTTTCAGGCTTTGGTTTAAATCTGGAATATCTTCTTTACCACCCGGTAGTTTCAACTGTTATAAAGTGTATGCATTAAGAGCTCATTACCAATTAATTGAAGGTTTGATATCCTTCCGCAACAGCGATTACCATAAACATTGAAGAAACTGCAAGGTTTAATCGTATGAGTAAACCTTCATTTAAAATTAGCTAGCCTCTTTGAGAACATATTCCGTGACTCTGCATCTCTGAATAGACCAGTGAGGTTATCATTACTCTTACCGAAATTCGAGTCTCTCGGAGTGAGAATCTTCACCAGTAGTATTTGAAAACCTTTCTGAGAAGATATGAAAGCGCTTAAATCTGTGTTGGAGAACTCAAGAAACTATCCTCTTTGTTTACCATCGCTTTTTATAGTTTTCAAAGTTACCCGAGTTTCCACCATTTTCAGGCATTTTGTAATACCTACCTGAAATTTCCAGAATTTTCAAGTTTAAATGTCTGAGAAGTTTTGGAAATCGAAATAATATTTAGAGAATTAGGCACATTATTGGGCTGATAAGCTAGGGCGTTTGGATATTTTTGTATTCTAAACTGCTGCTTCAAGATCGCACATTGCTGCCTCCCTAAGGGATTGAATATATAGGCGCTGATCTACTGCCCCAGAGAAACGATGTACTCAAAATATTTTAAAGACTTGCTTGAAAATCAACACACGTTCCGCAAACATATTTTTTTAGCACAGTTTTTATTGTTGTTTCTAAAATTACCAGTTGAGATGAAAACCAGATATGACAAGAAGACCACAATTCATGAAAGGCTGTCTCCTTTAATAATCGACAACTTATCTGTCACACCCAACTAACAAGGCAGATGGCGCTCTCTTAACAAGGCGACCTCAAATAATGACCACCCGTCGCACACTTAGTGAGTTGTAGTGGTTAAAAAATTACGAGAAGAATTTTTCCAAGACAAAATGTATGCCCTTTATATAGTTATTCTAGTTTTCCTGTACTACGAAGATATAGTGTAAGCCACTTTGCCTCCAGGCGTCGAAACTAACGGGAGTATTTAAATTGGCTTTAACGCGACTGCTCTTTTTCATTAACATTCGCTAATGTGATAGCAAGGAAATCGTTTAAAATCCACGTAATTGCATCATGTTTTCAAGTAAAATTAATATCTAGAAAATTAAATTGGTATCTAATATATCAAACGAGGCCATTGCCTCCTTCTTGTTAGCCAATGAGCAGAGTTTAAACCACTTTCTATGTACATTTCTAGTAGTTTTTTTTTAATTAACTTTATTTTGAGCAAAAACCATTCACAGTCAAGAGTGGGAGCACCATATTTCGTTTTGCTGCACATTATCGGTACTTAAGAAACAAAGCAGTGGTCGAACTGGCCAGTTTAATGTCCATTGCGCGACTGAGTTAGAAGGAGGTGCAAAAATCTGGCTGGCCTGTGCAACAGAGCAAAAATCACTAACTTCGTAACGCAGACCTCAGCCTACGACTGAAATATTTATATAAGCACATTTACAAGTATTCCTTGAGGATTGAGTATTGTCTGAGGAATTAAATCTCCTTGGATTTTAAACAATAATGCTTCCTTGAGGAACGTTTGAGACAAGGTTTAACATTTGCCTTTTACAGTAGGATGTGCGACTATCTAGCATTTTGATTATAACTTATGGCCGGCTTGGTTCGTTCATGCTTTATGTCATTGCACAATACAAAATAATAGTAATAAGTGTTAGGTTTCTTGATTTTATAGCGAATACTGGATTCGTAGAGTCATTTGGATTGAGTATAGGCAAACAGTATTGAAATAATCTGCACTGCTTGTCGAAGTTTTGCAGTTTGAACGTAGTTTTACAACTTGAAAATTATTTTATTATCAATCGATGAGTTAATCGACGGTTTTTCACAATAACGTTGAATTGAAAGGCAAAAATTGGTCATTAGTACAAGTGCCAGACAAGTCAGAAACAACAGTTCAAAAAACCATGCTTTGGAATAAGATTAGAAGTATCTAATAAGTAAGTAGATCGCTTAGAAAACAGTTACGCAAATAAACGAACTCTTAGAATCTTCTTTGTTGAAACTATATATAACTATTATAACAAGCATTTTTTCTCCCTGTCTTCGGATATTATTTTAAGTTCACTCTACCCATTATTATGAGAGGTCGACGATCAGTTCACAGATTTTGAGCCAAATATTTGAAAATTGTCACGCTATATGTTCTGCCCAAACGGTCAAACATACTCTACAACAACCAGAACAGATTTATTCAATACTGGTATCCTATACTCAGTTCAGTTCGCATTCTGTAAATGCGCTACTCACTATAAAATAGGGAAAGCAAACACGTTTGCATTGCTTAGTAATATTTAGCGTAAAAAACAAAATCGCCCAAAATTTTTACCAAAATACCATACAGTCAACAAGAAACGTCTCCAATTAGTGTGTAGGCACAACTATTACGTTCTTCTGTAAAATACAAATGCTAAATCCTTCTTTGAACGTTCTCTGCTTGTTTTGTTTTTGTGAAAGCCAAAATCATTCCTCAACTGGCATTCAATCCTCAAGGAAAGTTTATGAATGTATCCATTAATCTACGGATCAGCATTAATGACCACTCTCCCGCTACAAAATATTTGAGGTTATGTATATTATTCAAGTATGTAGGAGCCCCACCCTATATTTTGGATATCAATGATAACTTAGTTGATGATAGATAACAGAATTGACGTCATCACAAATGTGAGTACGTTTTCGCAAGAAAACCTAAACTATTTACCTAAAGCAAGATTTTCTTCAAACAAAGTGTTTTGTCTTCATTTTTTCATCACTAAGACCATCGCTGCATCTTGGATAAACGACCTTTCCACCTTTCTATTTACTCCAATTACCGGTAAAGGGCTTATTGCAGATGCGTCTCAGAAATTTTTCCAAGAGATAAACTCATCGAGGCTTAAAAAAATTAATGGAACGCTGTTTTTCTCTTCAGCATTTTTCAGGCACGCTGAACGTTTTAAAGGATTAGCTAACGATACTTCGTCGGAATGCTATATTATTCCGAAGTGTTCGATACCTAAGCATCAATGGCGTAGGTAATCTTAAGTTTCTGGAGTCAAAATATAAGTAATACCTTTAACTGAAGTATTTTTCCTGAAGATAGTCATCTTAATGTCCTGCATTCAAAAAATTATTCGAGATAAAATGAGATATCGCATCAACATCTATGAGAACTCGTCACCCCTCTGTTTCTTCCCTCCGGAGTAGTTAGATATCTACTTTGACAAGTTTATTGTCTTAAAGATGGAGCTGTAACCAAATATATGCTAAATGGCGACAGCGCTATCTGTGAGACACGAACCTTCTTAAAGTAATTTCTGATTAGTGCGGATAGAAGAAATATAGCTGTGACAAAATCTCATAGATGACGCTACGGTATCTGACTTCATATCATAGAGGAAGGAGTGTCGTTGAATGAGCTAAACAAAAAATATCGACATGGTTAGAGAGATAGGAGGAATTCTGGTGAAAGTTAATACTAATAGAGCAAAAATAATGGAGATCGCCAGATATCAAGTCAATAACAACACGATTACGCTAGCGAGCACCGATTTCAAAAAGGCTAAAGAGTTTGTCTATTCAGGAACCATTATCACCTGTCCAAATAAAATGTGTATCTGTATTGAAGCCTGAATAAACAAAGGTAACAGAAGTGCAGCTGCTTTAGCTAAGTAAGTGAAAAATAAAAGTGTCTCTAGAAAAATTAAATTGAAGGTTTACTATACTATAATTCGGCCATCAGCAAATAGTTTTATATGATTGTCGAGCATAATCAATGACCATAAGAGAT